GATGATGTTTGGTGAATGGAACGTAAATTTCACGAAATGTGGAACCGAGATGGAATGACTAAGCATTACAGGAAGGATTTTCACAGATCGATCAATACAAGGGGCGCCTGCTACGTAATGCATAACGGAAGCCATTTTGGAGATGGCGTGTGTAAGGCTGGCGAACGCCTTACGTGCGTGGTCGTTGAAGACGAACTGCTTAGGATTACCAAGCAAGAGGTCCGTCAGCGGGTGCATTAGAGTCGCGCATTGTGGGATAAAGCGGCGATAAAATTTAATCAGACCGTGGAATCGGCGGAGCTGTTTTAACGATGTTGGCCCCGGGTTTTCTGAAATGGCGAGTACCTTGTCTGATAGAGGCGCGACGCCGGACTCAGAGATACTATGGCCTAAAAAGGTAACACTAGGTTCGCCGAATGAGCATTTGGCAGCGTTGATGGTAACGCCGTGTTGGCGAAGCCGCGTGAAAAGGGCACGCAGATCCCTCGTGCACCTCGAGAGTGGCGCTAGCTCCCAGAACGTCGTCTAAATGGGCGAAAGTATTGTTTAAGCCTTAGCAAACTTGATCGATGAAACGCTGGAAGGTTTGCGCGGAATTGCGCAGGCCAAAGGGCATGCGCAGGAACTCAAAAAGACCAAACGGTGTGGTCACCGCGGTCTTAGGAACATCCACTGGATGCACCCTAATTTGGTGATATGCACGGACTAAGTCGATTTTGCTAAATACCTTGCATCCCTCTAAACTTGCCGTCAAGTCTTGAATGTGGGGGATGGGGTAACGGTCCGGTGTAGTAACGCTGTTGAGCGCGCGGTAGTCGCCACATGGTAGCCAGTTGCCTGAGGACTTCTTAGAAACCATGTGTAATGGTGAAGCCCATGGGCTGGAGGGTGGGCGGATGATGCCCAGATTCAGCATGTGCTGAAATTCCGCGCGGGCTATTTTGAGTTTGTCCGGTGCGAGGCGTCTAGGGCGACAGTGTGTCGGTGGACCGCGCGTGACGATATGATGTACAATGTCGGTAGTCGCCTGAGGTAGAGTATCCGGCTGTTTGCACAACTCCGGAAATTCGGAGAGAACCGCACGAACTTATCGGGACGTACGAGAGTGGGCTAACAGACGGAACATCAGCAGGTGTCCCGCGAGTCTCACATGTGGTGAGACGGTCGATGAGCTTGTGCCCAACCGGGTCAACCATCAGGTTAAAATGCCGGAGAAAGTCTATGCCTATGATGGATTGTGGAAGGTCGGCGATGATAAATACCCAAGGTAAACTACGGCGAATACCGAGGTTCAGTGTGAGTGAACGCTCGCCGTAGGTTTTGATGGTCGTGCAATTCGCACCGACCAGCTCCACAGAAGAATGTCGATAAAGGTCAGCGGGGTGAGGGCGTATCACACTGACCTGTGCGCCTGTGTCGACCAGGAAGCGTATCCCGGTTGTTCGATCTGTGACGAAAAACAGGCGACTTGGTTGTGGCGAGCCGGACACGGTCGTCGCCTGGGCCGGTCGGCTGACTAGTTTCCCGACCGCGGCGTGTAGGTGCATGGTTTGAGACACCTTTTGGCGGTGACGCCGTAGCGACGGTGATACCAACAAACACCATTAGAGGGTGAACGAGAACGATGGTGTCGGGGGCTGCGGCTCCGGTGGTTGGAGCGCGAGCGACGTCGTTGTCGTGGCCGGTCGCGTGATAGTGTTAACGCCTGGACCTGTGCAACTAACGCTTTCACGCAGGCTACCAGTTCAGCGTTTTCGGAAGAGGGTGGTGGATGCGCTGGACCGAAAGCTGATCGTTGTACACGCGGTCTGCCATTTCGGCCAATTCGGTGAGTGTGTAGCGTTGGCCAAAGTACTGCAGAATAGAAGAAAAGCTCTTCGGTAGAGCCTGCATCCAAGCCAGGCGGAGGATGTTGTCGTCGACATTGAGACTTGCAGCCTGCCCCTGCATGTAACTCAGGAGCTTCGTGGGTGTGTCTAGGCCATTGCCACCGAGGCGCAGGTCACCGAGGAGCTGCTTAAGACGGCACTCCATCGGCATGCCGAAACGGCCTAGTATTGCG